TATATAAAAACAATGGTCCCAGCATATTTCCTGTTTCACATTTTTTATTTCTATATATTGCAAGAACCCAAAAAGAGCCACATATTGATAAATAACGTTATATGAGCTGTTTTAACAGTAAGTTATGATTGAATTGCCTCTTGTGACAGTTTTGAAAAAGTGTAATAACAAGCAGGAAATGGCATGGGCCAACAACATGATTACATTGAAATGCTCTATACATTACATCAGCCAATACTGAAGCCAATTCTGGAGCTAATCAAGCAAAATAACTTATGATGACGGTCCAAAAAATGAGAACCCCAATTTTATATGTAAATATTAAAAAAAAAAAAAAAAACAGAGCAAAAACCAGGAGAAACTAGATTTACTCTTAACTCCTCGAAACCTTGCAATGACCTTACACTGATATCTGGGATTAGAGAAATAAAACAGGGGCAGTGACAGGTCAGTCCTCGTTATATGAACATTTAAAGAGCCTGCATGAGTGATTTGGAGAGATGGATAGATGGAAGTCCTGAATGAAAGCGCTGGCAGAGAAATCTTCAGGAGCTCAGAGCCAGAACTGTTTCCTCTACGTGCAGCCAAGACTGAATTAAAGCGCAACTGAACGCGGTCTTCCAATTAGTCTAAAGCAGCAGCCGTTCAGGTCTGAAATGAGTGACACGCAGATACCCGTGTGCCCGCTGTGAGTTCAGGAGCGAGGAATAATAACTCACTCGCTCGCTCGCTCCTTCAGCATTATTCCTGATGAGGGATCCCGGTACTTTACTATGAGATAAAAGATTCCTGCTGTGTTTCACGCACGGAGAAATTACACATGATTTAGCTTCACTGTGATGAGTCCTTCAATCACCTGACAGTCACTTCAAGACTGTCTGCACTTCACAAATGTGTTTCCATCTACCTATTTTTATGCACATCATGGAATATTGCATGATCAAAACGTTCATTCATTTTGCTTTGGCATAGTCCCTTTGTTTATCAGAGGGTCGCCACAGCAAAATGAACAGCCAATTATTCAAGCATATTTTTTAAGCAGTGGATG